AATCTTCAGAGTTACGAGTTGTGATGCCTATCTATCACTGCAGACCTATTCTGGTTTCATTCCTCTGAGTGACAAACCAGCCCTGGAATGTACAGAAACACACTGCGGAAGATAAGAGTTGCTTCACCCTACACTTCCTCTGTGTCACTGTCACTGGTATGCTTGGCACGACAATCACAGTGATAGGCGTTCAAATACACGCATGCACGCAGCGGTGTGTGTGAAACCAGCCACATGCGGTGCATGGATGTGCATGGACGTGCATGGACACACACACACACCCACACACACATACAGATCTCATTGGGACCATCAGGTTGTTGAAGCTTAATGATCCAAGCCCAGCCCATTTGGCTCAAAACAACAACCTCAAACAGGCAACACCCTTCAACAAAAACCACCTGTCAAGTCGAACAAGTCTCTGTTTTGTGCTGGTGGAAAGTGATGAACAGGAATTAAAGAGTCACACGTCCATGGGAAAGAAAAATGAATCAGCCAACGTATTGTGAAGAGCCATTCCCAACAGGAATATTCTTGTTTTATACTGGGTGGGAAGCACTGGTTACGTTTACTCATACCTTAGCTGACACTATTCTTAACTAATTTAACTTCCTTTTAGTGATGGCCTAAGGTAGTGCAAGTGGTCAAAGGAAGCTTATATTAACCAGTATACTGGAGAAAACACATACACTAATATACTCAACTTAATACCACTCTGTATCGCCACCTTTCACTCACCTCTGACACCTGGCGCAAAGGGCAAGGAGAGTAGAGCTGAGGATGAGGAAGACGACAAGGGAGATGATGCCCACCTCTGGGGATGAAAACCAACCCAACATGTCAACCGACCCTACTGGAGCCATGGTCCTGGTGCTCTGTAATGACTGACAAACCAAACCACAGAGTATACACACTGTCAAAGCAGAATTCATGAGGCTGTGTCACATTTATTAAATCAGTGTTTCCATTAAATATAATCCTGATGATGTCTTGTAAAAAAAAATTCACATCTCACATAATGAAATCCAGCACTTTTCAGATTATTCATGAGGAACCATAATGATGCACAATATAGATAAAGGGGTTTATAACTTACTGTGGATGCTGCTTGACTCTGCTGTGGCTCTGTCACCAACTGCTGTCAGTCATGTAACTGCCTTTGCTTTATGCGGCTCACAGCAGGCAGCCGACTTAGGGAGGGACTCCCTGTCCAGTCGCTTGTGAGGGAGGCGCTGACACAAGCCCATAAACAGCCCATTGTGTTTTTTTAACGTCACTAAATTACATCCACACCTGAGCGCCTCGTCACCTGACATGCCAGTGGCGTCCAGGAATGTTGGCCAGAGACACTGGCACAGTAACCTCAAAAGGTGCTTGGTTGATCAACGGAAAACTGAAAGGGATTGATCAAACTGACTGTAAATCGTCCGGTGGAGGAGTGTTGAATTCACCAGTGACGTTAGTGTGCACTGTTGCTGTCTGCCAGGGGAAAGCTAGTTAGGCAGCCACACAATCATTCAAACAACACCTCCCCCTAGCAGGAGTTTACATGACTGCAGAAAACTGGCAGCTCATCACAGGGCATATAAAGGAAATGTCATAATCCAGTCTTTACATTTTTTAAATATGCAGTCGTCTTTGTTGTGTTCTATTTTCTCACCCACACTCTCTCCAACACACTTTTTGTTTTTGTGTTCTTATATTGTCATTTATATTTAAATGAAATGCCTTGGTGCGTAGGTAGATATACTGTAAATACCTGGAAGAAGACACACTCCTATTGAAACACATATGGTAGTCTTTCCTCTGTCTTGGACTCTGTGCCGAGAGCTGATTGGTTGGAGCTACTGAAAATTCAACTCACAAGGGAGGTATTACAGAAAAAAAGGATCATTGTTCTAATGCAGAGCAGGGTTTGCATGCAGACTAGGACTAGCGTAATTGGATTACCGTGCTTCAGAGGTGCAGAGTTTGAGTTCTGCACGAGGACATTTCGGCTGAGCACTTTGAAAAGGTCACAGGTCGTGTCATGAAACTCGGGGATAATGTAAATGATAAAGTTTGCTCCTGTAGAGGTTCAGCTCTCAAGTTTAATAAGTCTATGGCGCACACTTTACATATGTGAGTGTAGGAAGGTGGCATAGCAGAGCATGGTGAAAAACTGCAGCGTGCATGTTTCCAGCCACTCCTGCACGATAACGCTATCAGCCTTTGGAGTCTTTTGTTTTTTTGGCTGCTCGGTCGGTGGAATTACCCCTTGGAGCACCGAGGCAGCAGACCAGAAAAATAATTCTGCATTCATGCTGTACTAAAATAATTAAACACACGTCTCGTATACTTTCCTGCGGCTGCCCCCCCCCCTCCCCAAAGAAACATGGCTCTTACATTTTCAATTAAGTGTGTACAATTACATTTATATTGATTTTAATTGATTTGTGTGGGGTTTTCACTAAAGCTAAGTTTATGAAACTCCATGCTTATGACGCATCAGCACGTCTAGATCTTTGTAAAAGAAAAAACAAACATGTTTTATCGTTTGTGTAATCTGTACAAAAAAACTGAAACTATTCCTCTAATAACATGATTGCTATGAAATAAAGTTGTAGCTGCAGTGACACAGAAAGAAAATGCTGAGGAAGAATTGCATTGATTTACCCCAATGCACACGTCCACTCACACACGCCACCACCTCTGACTCTCCAAGATTACACACACACACACACACACACACACACACACACACACACACCTTTGTTAGCAATGACACCGACACACCCACATCCATTACTTGTTTAACAGACCCATTCTGTCATAATCATCTTCTGAAACCTTGCAGAACGGGAAATCTATAACTCTCAGCAATTTTCATTTGTTCTCTCTCCCACAACGGAGCTATGGGATTCGCTCAGCGGCACAAAGCAAAATCACTAGTCACTCTTCCACAGCAGCGTCCAATTTCAAATATTTGTAACATAATCTTGAAAGCACAGTTTGCTCATATGGGATTGAACTTTGCTAACAATAACGTGTTTTTGTTGGCAAATTGAAATAGATAGTAACCCTCCGGATGCCAGTTGCCCTGCAGAGGAAAGTGGGCTATTCTACATTAATCTAACACATGGTTCACTTACACTCTGCTGGGCCCTGACTATTTAAAAAAAAAAACTGACTATAACATATTTCCTGATAGTTCTTTCTCAAATGTTTTTCACTAATATTTCATTATTCAATAAAATCCTCATCAAATTTGAGAATAAGTTCAACATTTTGGGAAATACAGATGTTTGGTTGCTTGTGGAGACTTAAATGAGAAGTTTGGAACAACTCTCATATTTGTGTGGTAAATATGAAGCCACAGCCAGCAAGCATAGCATAGAATAGCATACCATAGCGTAGCGTAGCGTAGCAGAGCATAGCATGGCACAAAGACAGGCTCTGTCTTAACAAGAAGCTGATTTTAGATGATTGCATATAAAGTCAATAGAAAGACTTCAGTGGGCAAGAGAGCACAAACAGTTAAGTCTGTAAACTTACGAACAGATCTGAGATCTCAAATAAGGGCAGTCTCCAAAAAATGTCGAAGTATTCCTTTATAATGAGGCCTGAGCTCTGACTCACTCAGTGATACTGGGCCATCTTGAAACTCACCCTGAGGGAATTCATTTTACACATTAAAAGAATATAAAAGGTGTGGCGAGCAGCTAAATATGGCTGCAGAACCATGTGTGTATCCTGGCAAAGAAAAGGCAAACTGAAACACCCTGACAGAAGACTACTTTCTTCCATATGGACAAACAGGGTCAGCGGGATAGATCTGTGTTTAACACCAGTGTCTTAACACCCTTGATTTATTTTATATAGCCTGTTCTAAATATTCTGTATTTGTAAGTTTGTCCAGTTCCCTCTGGATTCTGTTGATGTTATCTCCTGCTGTCTATGGCCGCTTGTTAATGGTGCTTGGCCGTGCTGCGTTGCTGAGATAAACATGTCTTTTTCGTCTGCTCCCAGTTCTGCCAATCAAAATCCTTCAATTTGGAGACAATAAGGTTTTGTATTTTTTTTTTTAACTTTTTGTAAATCAATATTAAAAACAAACAGATGAGGAAACAGTCATCCAATCACCACATCCTGAGAATCTTGTACATAATTTCTTCAGTCAGTGAAATAAAACAAAAACCATGCAGTTGTTGTCTTTAGCCCCTGCAGGGCAGTGTTGCCTCCTGTCATATCTCTCTCTCACACACACACACACACACACACACACACACTGGATTTGCTGAGGGACTTCACCCACTCGGAGGATCGTTCTGCCAGCTTGTTTCCATGCAGTCTATCCCCCTGCCTCAGCATTAAACTGGCCTCTTTGTTCACCTAAATCCCACTATTTGGCTCGTCCACTTCAGTGAACACCGTAATCCAGAGTTGCACTCTCGCTCCGTCTTTCAGTGCTGACACTGCTGCTCACCTCGGACAGCAGGGAGCGTTCGTAGCAAACAAGAATGTCAAATATTGTTTGGCTCGAAAAACAGGTTGTTCAGTAGCAGCATGTCCAAAAATGCACAGCAAAAAAAAATTTTGAATAAGCAATTGCTTGTTTTTGAATCACAAAAATAGCATAAAACAACACTGACAAAATATTTATTATCCTTATGTATTTCAGAAAAATTAGGAACAGATAGACATTTAGACGTTATTAGGTTTACTCCTGGTATGTCTCAGACTAACATCCTTATCAGCATCCTGTTATGAACGAACTCTGTGATTAGCAGCAATTAAATGGGAGGATGATTCACGGTGGAAGACTTAACTGAGCAAACTATGGAGTCCGCTGAGCCAACTATTTCTTCGACAACAGAAGTTGAACTGTTCGGAAAATGTCAGACTTGTTAATTGGATAAGAAAATAAACTTTTAGACTGTTTTATTTTGCAAATACTTTAAATGTCACATTTTTCACAAACTGATTGTTTATCAAAAACATACAAAGATGGCTTCATTTTATTATTATTTGGTATATTTAAACCCTACTCATTCTTTTGCTCTCTCTCTCTCTCTCTCACTCTCTCACTCTCTCACACACACCCACATAAACACATGCTAACACAAACATGTCACTTGTCTCTCTCTTCTTCACCCTGCAGTTGTTTATTCGTGCGCCTCATTGTGATGAGTGCTGTCAGGATGCAGCACAGAAACAGAACGGGGAAGGACACACAACCCCACCACAGCTGTCTCTCTCCAAATACCTCCACCACCGTATCCCTCCGCCTGGCGTAGTCCTGGAACAAAGCCTCCAGCTGGAACACGGTGCACAGGGACAGAAACAGGTGGAAGATCTGGTGACCCTGGCCCACAAAGTCGCAGCGGCCCGGGAAGAAGCGCTCGGGGATGGGACAGGAGAAGAAGAGGGCGGACAGCAGGAAGGAGGCAATCTGGAGGGCGTGGAAGGGCAGGGAGGGCTCTTGTGTCCAGGAGACGGTGAACAGGCGGTGGGCTACGGGGCTGATGTCCAGCAGGTATGCTAGGGTGGTAGGGATAAGCTGGCAGATTTTACGCCGCAGTGGGTACGGCCGCCTGTACCTGGATTTGGCGAAACAGCAGCCAGCACAGGAGAACCACCCAAAGAAGGCAGCTCCGGGTAGAAACAACAGCCCTATGTAGCTTTCTCTCCACGCTGCCTCTGACGTGTAGAAATAATGTCCAAGTGAACAACCATACTGATACACAGCTACACCCACATAGTCCATGAAGAAGAAGAAGTAGTGTGCGCGTTCGGAGTGAGACTGTAAGAGGTGAGCTGCAACACTGAAGAACAGGTAGGTGAAAGAAGACACCAAGAAGAGGCTCAGAGGTAGAGCTGCTGCGTCCAAGGTGTACCCCAGGGTGACTACGTTGGCCCACCAGCGGACCAGCAGCACAGGACCTGCAAGCAAATGAGTCCACACGTTCAGGGACTCATTGTGTCTCTGGAAGAGGCTGAGGAGGTAGCAGCGCCAATCCTGCCGGACGGGACGGTAGCCTGAAAGGATGTAGGGTTCTCGGAACAGGCTGGGCACCTGGGAGGCGGTGACGGTGGGGCTGGGCGACGGCACCGAGGCAGGGACGAGGTCTGACAGAGGGGGGAGCCGGCGGAGGTGCTTGATGTTCAAGGTCAAGGTGCTGAAGCGTTGCAGAACATCACCAGACATAGCTGAGTGGTGGATGTGGGAGAGGACTGCTGGAGACAAAACTGAGAAAAAGAGACAGTGAATTAATACAGGAGAGACTGTTGCATGGATTTCAGTCTAATAACTGCACAGGTATTTATTCATCAAGACCTTGTAATGGCTCATAACCTGTGCTGTGCTTTGATGTGATGCCAACAAGCATTATCTAAGATGTTTTTCAAGTAGAGTGCATCAATCTGCACAGTAAATCAGAGGTATGAGGATCGGGGTAGAAGAGAGGAGAAAGAAGAGAAAGTGAAATCTGAGCTTAATACAAGATGAGGGAGATTAAAATTGGGTAATAAAGTTAATAAAACTCCACACAAAGCGGCTAGAAACATGCTGTGAAGCTTCTATAGACAGATTAACACAGGAGGACTGTTTCTGTCAGGCCTGACGTACTGCGTCTGCGGTGCTCTTAAGCTTGTCTGAAAGGTTAACACATCTACAGGATGTTGGTCCAGGCTGAATCATTCTTGAGAGAAGTTTCATCTACGGCCTCTTGGCTCATAACAACTAAAAAAGATGGTCCACATTGCTCACAGTGATCAAACAAATACACACAACCGGACAGTATGCATTACAATAGACACAGACATTCTTCTCCACATGAGTCATGCGCACCGGAAAAACAGGTATGTAACCATCACCCTGCTCCTAGACACACAAACACACACACACACACACACACACAGAAGAATGTAAAGCACTGTTTGTCTCCAAGGTAAATGAGCATCTATGGAGGCAACAAGAGAAAAACACACACTCATGCTTCTCACAACAGCTACTGTGTGCCCTGACCATTTCTCCCCTCAACAAACACACAGTCTCCCTGACACCATTCCTCTAACCCTGTACACATGCATCTATTTAAATCCTCCCAGTCACAATGGGAGTTTTGAACTGAGCCGATCTTACACAAACAGGGTGAAATCTTCGACCTTTGTGCAAGTTTCTCCTAAAAAACAAACAAACAAACAAAAAAAACACCTCCATGTGCATTTCAGCCAATAAAACAAATAAAATGTTATTTTCCTCTGAATTTATTTTGATTTAGCAACGAAGAAGCCTTTATGTACATTTCACGTTGTTGTTTTTTTGTTTTTTTTAATCCATGTCAACAAAATGTCTAAAATAAGCATTTTAACATCATAGATATGACCGAGATACTTACAATAATCCAAACGAACACACTTCAAGGTACAGCTGATTTGTGATTTGTGGTAGTGTAATATGAAGGAACATCAGCTCACCTGCTGGTATCGTGAACACCTGTTGCCCCTCTGGAGTCGCACGTCTCTGCAGGAAGGGAAGGAAGTCTTGTCTTGCCTTACAGGCTTTCCTCCATCAGAAAGAGCACATGCTTGGATAACTGCAACATGTTGAGGTAAAGAGGTATTTCAGAGGCTGCAGACAACAACAGGGTAAAAACACAGCTGACACGACAGCCCGGAGGCTGAACGCGTGGGCGGGGTTAAAGGACCAGAAAAGCCCTGAGGTGCTTCTAGCAGCTTTTTCTTATTCTTATAAGAGACATTTATTGGTGCTTATTCTGTGACAGAGACGTTCAATATTTTGTTTGTGTTTGCGTTTACATCTATATTTATATCATTTACCATTTATTAGACTCTTGGAGAAATCACATTTGTCATTGTTTTCTTTATGTAGCCTAAAGGACATTATGGTAAAACCATGAAGACAATGAAACATACATGTTTAATTTTGCATGTGTGTCTCCATCTTCTGTCTGGTATCATACACTGCATTCATGATTAAAACTAAAGGTTTTTGTGTTCAGCAGTGCACGTACAACAAATGCAAAATGTATTGGCTCTTTCATAAGATATTCAGACAGTGAAAATGACTGAAGGAAAAAAAGAAAAATCCAACCCCAAATCAATACAATACACTGACACTTTGTTATTCTTTGTGACTCATTATGAATCTGAATCAATATATGCCCCTAAATTAATTTATGGAAATGTTAGAGGGAATTATTTCTGTATGAAAATTATGATTAAATGATGTAATATTTATTTTTATTTTTAATTTATTCTTTCTTCCTTTATTGGTGAGATAATGTAAAATAAAAAAAAATAAAAAAATAGGTGTGACATGAAGGACACATTGGACATAATGGACAGACATGTCAGACATGATATCAGATGAGAATAAACCAGGTTAAATCAAATCCACAGGTGTCAGGTACAGGTGTATCAGTACACTGCTGTTGGCTCTTAATATTTAATTTAACTTAATTAGATTCAGAGATTAGATCAGTTTTAGTTGAAACTGTTTCATAGAGGTGTTGATTCAAAGATATGGTCATTTTGGTGGATGCAGTTTGTGTTGCTGTTGAATGATATTGCATTATACTGACGTGTGTTTCTATTATTTTGTCTAAACAACAGGAACACCTCTGTAGAACTCATCTTTTTTTATATCTGCCTTGTTCATTGTTGGTGTTTTACCAAGTGGGATCTTTTTTATTCAGTTGTTTTATTTATTTTTTTATCGTGTCCTGTTTTATTGCTTTCATTGTGAAGCACTTTGTGTCTGTTTTGAAAAGTGCTATATAAATAAAGTTTAGGCAGGTTTTAGAGATAGCATTGTTAACATGCAGTATGTTGAAAAGTCCCTGTTTATGTCGCCATCTCCTGGACAGATGGACAAACGTTTATTCAATAGGCTTTTTCCTGCTTTTTCTTTTTCAACAGTCCGCCTCTTCCTGCTCTATTTTCGCGGGAGTTCTTGAAAGGGGCGGGGTCGTTAGTAACACCGAAGATCCTATTGGACGATCGCACGTTTACCCGCCGACTATGCTAAGGAGTGCGTGCCGAGTTGACCAATCGCCTCTTACGCTGCACTCGCACCCGGCACGCAGTGGCGCGAAAACCCTTCAGTTGTGCGGTGAGACGGCAGCGGGGAACACGACGCGACAAACTCTGAGCAACATCTGAAGCGGTTTTCAAGAAGAATAAAAAATCACACAACATGGCAACCGACGTCGTAGACGACCAGGAGATGAGGGAGGCTCAGAGGGATTACCTGGACTTCCTGGACGACGATGTAAGTCCGACTTTTGTCCGGTTAAACACTTTGTTGTGGGGGATTGAATGACAAAGCCATGCGGCCACAACAAAAGAAGCTCCCTTCGTTTGATTAGTTAGGAACAAACACCTCTGTTGGCAGTTAAATTACATCCGTTTGCACGTGCTGCACGTTCATATGAAGCTTGGTGCGAAAGTTTGATTGTTTGTTTGGTTTACATCGAGCTGAGGCGTCTGTCTGCTCGAGCTCAGTGAAATAATAATCATCATCATCATCATCATCATCAAAAGAGTTTGAGTTAAAATGAACGTATACCGTCTTTTTCCTGCTTAACTTGCAGCAAGACCAGGGGGTTTACCAGAGCAAAGTCCGCGACATGATCAGCGAGAATAAAGCCCGGCTCACCGTCAACATCAACGACCTGAGGAGACGCAACGAGGCCCGGGCTGCAAAGTAAGTAAGGGTGTGTGTGTGAGAGAGAGAGAGAGAGCTGATATGAGATTTCCAGGTCTTTTATAATTCATGAAACTTGCACAAAGAGCTGATCTCATATCTTAAGTAGTTTTCCAGTCTTCCCCACACTTAGTAACATATTGCATAGAATAACTGTCCATTGAACAAGTTTTAAAGTCAGACTGTACAGTTGAAAGATGAAATGACATATTTGCCCTTAAGCAAACTTAAAAGTTCAGTTTGCAGCCACCAGTGTTTATGAGATGCCAACGTTGCTAACTCTAGCTAGGTTTTGGTTTGTAACTGTGATTGCTGAGGTCAGGTTGTGACTTTATGGCTTCTCTATTTGTGCATCTGTCACAAATGAACTGTCATGTTTCATCAGCCCATCAGTGGTTTAGTTTATCTGAATAGATAAAGTAAATTGTTTACTATTGGTGGAACCACCTGCTGGAGACTTTCAGTGTTTCGATGTTATTATTCGTCTTTATGGAAACAAAAAATCACTCCTGACCCACGGTAATAAAAACCATAATTAAGCCAGTGATCCAAATGTCCATTGTCCCTGTCAGACTGATGAGCAATGCCTTTGAGGAGCTGCTTGCGTTCCAGCGGGCGTTGAAGGACATGGTGGCCTCTGTGGACGCCACCTACGCCAAGCAGTACGAGGAGTTCTTCATCGCCCTGGAGGGCAGCTTCGGCTCCAAGCACGTCACCCCTCGTACCCTGACCTCCCGACTGCTGGGCAGTATGGTCTGTGTGGAGGGCATCATCACCAAGTGTGAGTTTCCTACTCATGTTTTTAACTTCTTTATCGTAACTTTTTTATAATGTTGATGATGATACTTATATTGTGACTTTCTTGGGTTCACTTCCTGCTTTCTCGTTTTCTTCTTCAGGTTCTCTGGTGCGTCCCAAAGTGGTGCGCAGCGTCCACTACTGCCCGGCCACCAAGAAGACGATGGAGAGGAAGTACACAGACATGACCTCCCTGGACGCTTTCCCTTCTAGTGCCATCTACCCCACCAAGGTAACTGCATTCATAAGGCATTACTCAGAAGAAAAGGCTCTCGGAAAAACGTACGTAGAAGTCACGAGACTCTTCCTGACTTTGTGACCGTCTCTTCTAACAGGATGAGGAGAACAACCCTCTGGAGACAGAGTTCGGTCTGTCCATCTACAAGGACCACCAGACCATCACGGTGCAGGAGATGCCGGAGAAGGCGCCTGCCGGGCAGCTCCCCCGGTCTGTGGACATCATCCTGGATAACGACCTGGTGGACATGGTCAAACCGGGAGACAGGGTGCAGGTCGTTGGGACGTACCGCTGTCTGCCCGGAAAGAAGGGAGGGTTCACCTCCGGCACGTTCAGGTGAGATGAGAGCTCGCGTGTTAGAACTGCCGTAGCTGCTGAGTTCATCCTCCTGCTTTAGTGTAAGTCTTAACACCCTGTCCTCCGCAGGACCATCATGATCGCCTGCCACGTCAAACAAATGAGCAAGGAGGTGTCCCCCTCCTTCTCTGCGGATGATGTGGCCAAAATCAGAAACTTCAGCCGCACCCGCTCCAAAGTAAGGCCTCGCGCTCTGACCGCCTGCGTTTGCGTTGTTTACAAAAGCAAACCATTGAACTGAACGAGGGAATGAAATCTCTTCTTCTGTTGTTGCTCAGGATGTGTTCGAGCAGCTGGCTCGCTCCCTGGCGCCCAGCATCCACGGACACGAGTACATCAAGAAGGCCATCCTCTGCATGCTGCTGGGCGGCGTGGAGAAGGTGCTGGAGAACGGCTCGCGCATCAGAGGAGACATCAACATCCTGCTCATCGGTACCAGAGTGTTTCCTGCTGATGTTCTCATTCCTCCAGGAAGTTTGAATTTAATATTAAACTAATTACCTCATCATCATTTTTTTTTCCTGATCTCCAGGTGATCCCTCAGTAGCCAAGTCCCAGCTGCTGCGTTATGTGCTCCACACGGCGCCCAGAGCCATCCCCACCACGGGACGAGGCTCCTCTGGTGTGGGTCTCACCGCCGCCGTCACCACTGACCAGGAGACCGGTATGACACACACTCATAAATGCATGAAAACACTGGCACGCACATCTGACATTTACTGTAGCTTAAACCCACTTCTACATCTCAACGCTTTATTTCTTCTTCATTAGGTGAGCGCCGGCTGGAGGCGGGCGCCATGGTGCTGGCTGACCGCGGCGTGGTGTGCATCGACGAGTTCGACAAGATGTCCGACATGGACCGCACGGCCATCCACGAGGTGATGGAGCAGGGCCGCGTCACCATCGCCAAGGCTGGGATCCACGCCCGCCTCAACGCTCGCTGCTCCGTGCTGGCAGCTGCCAACCCTGTCTACGGCAGAGTGAGTAACCATGCACGTGTGTTCAGCCGCCGCGTAACCCGTCAGCTGATCTAGATCTAAAACGCCTCCATCTCCTTCGCAGTACGATCAGTATAAAACCCCCATGGAGAACATCGGCCTCCAGGACTCCCTGCTGTCGCGTTTCGACCTCCTCTTCATCGTGCTGGATCAGATGGACCCCGAGCAGGACCGGGAGATCTCCGACCACGTGCTGAGGATGCACCGCTACCGTGACCCCCGCGAGCAGGAGGGAGCAGGTACTGGGAATCAGGGGTTTTTAAAACGCTATTCCAAGTTTTAAAAACGATTTTTAAAAAGTTTAATGTCTAACATGATGCGTTTCCTCGCTTTGCTGTTCAGCCATGGCTCTGGGCGGGACAGTCGACGTCCTGGCCACTGAGGACCCAGACGCGGTAGCAGAGGAGCACGAGGAGCTGCAGATCTACGAGAAACACAACAACCTGCTGCACGGAAGCAAGAGGAAGAAGTAAGC